ACCCAAGCTTCAGTTTTTTATTTTACTTTATTATTTTTGGAATGTCAAGTTACCCATTTCTCCAAATCCTCGGGGATGATTGTCGACGGTTTTACGTATAGTATTTGCTTCCCATGACGCTTCTCTGCTAGAGAAGGGTCTGCTCAACCGCCGATCTGAACCCGAGATTCTTCTAACGAAGGATAAGAAGACCAAGGGAAGGGATGGCAGGATGGCAGATTTCCAATTGAATCTGCACTGCCTATATATCTAGCAGCAATTGAAATTGTCCAAATGGATCTGTACACTCTGGAGATTGCAGTATGGTTCCTAGGTTAGCATCATCTTGTTGAAGATCACTAAATCCTATCTCATCTACCGCGACGATATGGCCGAAGTTATCGAGATATGGCCAAGCTATGTGCCCCAGCAAATGAATGCGTTTCCGTTACAAGTGAGGTCGAATACGATACCGAGAAAGCGAGCCAGAAAAAGAGCTGGAGCGGAGGAACATATTTTTGGCCAGCATTTTGGACAATATGTCGGCCAAGATCTATGCTGATGTATTGAACAGCGTGCCGGCTCTCTCCGCAAGATCCCACAACTATCCACTCAATATCGAGCCAGGTTGCTTTCCGCTTACGGATGTAGAAGCCGTATCTTGTTGCTACTGTTCACCTGGCTTTCGGGTACCTTGTGTGTGAAGCTCAGGTGGCTAAAATAGGACACATGTAAAACATGAACATCCAATTTCCAAGGAGGAAAACGGAAGCATTTTTCCCTGCTGTGAGGGAGATAGGGCGTGACTCCAAGTCAAGATAATAAGTGGAAAGGGAAATCGAGGGGAGAATACCCTATCCTGATACTTCCACATATAACCGAAGAAAATATTCGACCACGGCATATTTCCGGAACACCGCATAGGGCGGAACACCGCATAGGGGGATTTGACTTCAGCATTCCGGGAGCCGAGAATGGAAGGGTGTGCGTACCTCAGTCGATGTCTCATGAGACCAAAATTATTACTAGTGACAACCTTCAGAACTTAGAACCAGGAAACCGGTCTTCCACTTCCATCCCTCGCTCGTTCGACGTCTTTAATGTCGCAAGTCTGGAGGGTAATACCAGGCAATATAAATCAGCTGTTGGGGGTGGGTGTGGGGTGGGTGGTTTGTGTTCTGTGACATATTTCCATAGATTGATATGAAGAATGCAGGCCTAAAGGACTCATTAATAATAGTTTGTCTCTCTAGGTAATTTTAGTTATTGTTCGCGAAGGACAAACGATTTGATAGCCCCGATGCCCATTCCGCAAACACTTTCGTTTTGAAGACTTGCCGTTTTCAACCGCTTAATTGAAAGAAACGGATAAAACACCGAACCTTTTGAAGAAGCTAGCCTGAAAGAGCCCGACTTGCTTGTCCTCTGCGACAATCTTTCCTTCATTCAAATACCCCACACGCAAGGTGCCGCACTGCGCACGAAAATATCCTTGGGCCAGAACGACACGAAGGTTCTTAAACCCGAAAACACCAATCTTTCTCTAGCTTTATCAACAGTGTACATTTGGGCACCAAGCATGGGAAATTTGGGTTAAATGTTTGCGACTGTCAATGCTGATTCGAGAAGCTTTTGACCGCAGTGAAGAAACTAAAATCAATTTCTGTGGGTTGCAGGAAAGTCAAAAAAATAAATAAATAATAACAATAATAATAAAAATAAAAATAAAAATAATAACCTCTTAGATTAGAGAGAAATCCTGATCCATGCAATACAGAACAAACCTTCAAAAGGATAACGTTTGTCGTTCAACGGCTCACTCTTGGATGAGTCATGTAGCCTCTGTCAAGCTCCTTGCAAGGCGTGGATGTAGCAAGCTTGCAGCCTGTTCTGGTCGTTGATACCCCCGGAGCATGGTCTAAAGCTTCATCATAGTTGTGAACTAAGTGAGAGTGAAGTTTTGGAATGGGAGTAAAAGGATAGTCCCGAGCTTCCATGGTTCGCGGCCCGATTCCACGGATACATGTGTTGAAGAAGATTGCCATGTGCGTCGCTCCACAATTGAACAGGCTGGAGATAAGGGAAACCGAATGATATCCACAAGGGAGCATTCGGAGTTAAAACATAGTTTAATCTAACACAACAAGAAACTTCTTCACCCCGTGACCATACCAAGGGATGATTGGATGGATTCGAAACTTGGTTCAATCCTCACTAGTCACCACACCTGGACAAACTCCAAGCCCAAAACATTCCGTATAGATTGTGGATGTTGGATAACCATAATAATGAATGATGGGAAACGAAACCGCATTGGCACGAAAAGAATGATCTAAAATTGGATAAAAGGTCTCGGCGCCACGGTTAATCGCTGCTTGTGTCATATCCTCCATGTCAATTCTCCTTTCCATTGGAAGGTTCCCATCAAGGCCACGCCACGTTCAACACGTGGAAAGTTTCCAATAACGAGTCGCAATCCATTTAGACAGGCCTTCTTTCTAATCCTCCATCCTTTGGAGGAGGAAAACATGGTAAGAGAAAAGAAAAGAAAAAAGAAAAGAAAAAGTGGTTAGACCATGAGCAAAGAGAGAACCTTGGGAGGTGGCAAAATATCATCACTTTCAACATCCAACCCAGGCTTAACTGTGCGAAGGTAGAAAGGTCTGTTGTTCTTCCCGCAATTGACCAATTGGACGCAACAGAACTTTAACTAGTGCATAAGTTATGCATTGTTCCCTCGGTACAGCGGTTATGGTTTTCAACACAATTTGCGGAGGTTGAAGAAGTAACCCCCCCCTTTAAACAACATCCCCTCATCACCCACACTAACAATTATCTGATCGATCAAGATATGGGGACGCCGGTGGCCCTTCTTTCCCTTTATTACCATCGCGCTCTTACGTAATATGGTTCTCAGGAACAAAAAGCCGACGATAACCCCCAAGTTGCTCGTTAACAGGCAGTTGCAATATTCCTGTGCCGGCAACTTTTCTTTGCACATGTACTTACCTATATCGTCTCGGATTCAAGTTGGGGACGTCCGGAGCCAAACCATCTGATCAGATAAACACAATAACCACGACATCCAGAACCTGGCGACATTTACCACCGTCGGGACTGAGTGGGGCTCCATTATAAATCGTTGATTTCTTTCCCCTCAAGCAAGGTATTACCTGCGTATTACTCATAGATTTTTAACCAAGCTTTTCTGAGGTTTGGGTTGGGGATTTGACGCTTTCCCCATTTTTTCAATAGTTTTTCGTTTGGTCCAAAGACATGTGTTTTAAACATATAGTGTAGAGCCAAATCAAACCGCCTGGTATAAATGAACGTTTTACCTTTTGGGGATAATTTGAAACGAATAGATCTGGAAAAGAAGCCATCAAGTTGACCGCCGGTTGGCACTGTTATCAGATTATAACCCTTGCTCAGTAATTCCGATATAAAGATTCTTCTTCCTTGTTTATAGTCATCTAATAGTTCGAGAAATTTTCGTTCCGGCCGGCACCAACCAAAGGGTTCTTGATGGTTGATTGGCGTACACGGTGTACTTCGGAGGGGAATATTGAGATCAAAGAAAGTCTTCCCACATCTGATAAAGGCAAAATGGGGGGTCCACGAGAAGAAAACATAACCGATAGCTCATCCACACCACAGGAGCGTCAGAGCCCAGTGGTGGAGAAAACACTTCCATGCGGCGGGCTAGCAGAAATAAGAGCGCTGTGTACAGACGTACCAGTGACTCAAAGTGAATATTGGGAGCAGGATGATGGTAGCCTGAGGACTCCCACGGCAGAGATCGTTTTGACAGAGGCACTGGATAATCCTCTGTCACAGAGGAAGAAAATGGCCAAAAAGCAAATAACTGCAGTCATGGTTGCCCTCTGTGTAAGCGGATTTTAACGTCCCTTTTGTGGCTCCTCATAAATGAGGAGAATGGAACAATGAGGAAGCTTTGGAAGCTGACCGTATAGCAGGTAGCTTTGTTTCTAGCGGCTCTCGATATGGTAAGCCATAAATCATTCCTTCCCTTCCTTCCCATAGACATCTCAATACTGACCTTAATGACAGTCGATAATAGCCACTGTTCTTCCCACGATAGCGGGAGAGTTCAAGGCAACTAAGAGCAGTTATTCATGGATGGCATCATCCTATCTCCTCGGTAATGCCTCGGTCATTCCTCTCTGGGGGAAATTGAGCGATATTTGGGGGCGCAAACCCATTATTATGTGCGCAAACATCCTGTTTCTCCTTGCGAGTTTGATGTGCGCTCTGGCGCCGAATACGGTAACTTTAATTGCCGGGAGAGCAATTCAAGGTATTGGAGGAGGAGGCTTAATTTTGCTTGGACAGATTTGTGTGGGAGACTTGTTCAGTCAAAGGTAAAAAATCCCCTCCGCTTTCTTCCCTCTTTGCTGTTATGAGAGGGATTCATTCGTTGCTGATTTGCAAATTTGTGAAATCCTTAAGAGAACGCCCGATATATTACGCCATGTTCGGAATGACATGGGCCATTGCAGGCTCCATAGGTCCTGTCGTGGGAGGAATATTCACAGAGAAAGTAACCTGGAGATGGTGTTTTTATATCAACCGTAAGTAAACCTCCCGAGCGCCTAATCCACATGTAAAACAATACCGGTCCATTTGCCAATACTTTTCATTCTTCACACACCCAGTCCCATTTGGCGGTTTCGCTTTAGCAACCCTCTTTATTTGGCTCAAAATTGAAACGCCCAAAACGCCTCTCCTTGCTGGCATTCGCGCAATCGATTGGTTTGGAACTATAACCATCATAGGCGGAACGCTGATGTTCCTCTTCGGTCTCGAATTTGGCGGGATATCCTTTCCCTGGAATTCCGCAACAGTGATCTGCCTCATAATATTCGGTGCCGTCATGATGGGCATCTTTGTCATCATCGAGCGCAAAGTAGCCAAGTACCCTGTGATGCCCATGGCTCTTTTCTCAGACACAAGCAACATCTTCACCCTACTAGTAAACTGGTCGCACGGTTCTTCATTTATTGCGGGCGCATTTTTTCTCCCGTTCTATTTTCAAACCGTCCTCGGAGCAAGCCCCATCATGAGTGGTGTTTACCTTCTGCCACAAGTGGTCTTCCTATCCATCACTTCCTTCGCCATAGGGTTCACGATTCGCAAGACTGGCATGTACGTTGAATTCATCAGACTGGGCATGCTTGTCATGACACTTGGCAACGGCCTGTACATTGACCTCAAACCATACACATCCTGGCCACGCCTGATCATATACCAACTCATCACTGGCATTGGGATCGGCCCAAATTTCCAAGCCCCTATGCTAGCCCTGCAATCACGGGTCCCGCAATCGGATGTATCGACCGCAACAACAACGCATGGGTTTATCAGACAACTCTCAACCTCCTCCTCCATCGTGTTGGGTGGAGTCGTCTATCGAAACGTGCTCAAGCAATCTGGACCAAAATTATTTGCTGCACTGGGTCCTGAACTTGCAGAGAAATTACTCAGCAATAGGGTCAGCAGCCGAACTCATACTTTAAGAACTTTAACTGAGACGCAGCGACGGATCGTACTGGACGTGCACAACGTTGCTTTCAGCCGTATGTGGATTTATTACACAGTTATTAGTGCGATAGGATGTTTGTGCAGTTTCTTCATACGAAAGAAAGAACTGAGTCGGCATCACGAAGTAACGAAAACTGGACTCGAAGCGCAAGAGGATGCGAGAAAGGCACGGCTTACTGCTAAGCGTGAGTTGGAGGAGAAAAAGCAACAAGATAAGGGGTAAAATGAGAACGGGATTGGAGGTGCCAGCAGCGTGATGATTGAAACTGTTTAATCGGAGGCATCTTGAAGTACGGAGTCATTCGCCTTCAATCAACGCCTTTTACCATGGTGATATAACTATATACCCCGACAGTCGGCTCGCATTTTGCACCTTTTTTCAAGAGATGGTATACAACCATAAAGTTTTTATAAATATATCGCAATTCTTTTCATGAGGTCAGGAAAGGTGGAAGTGATATAAAGGAAGTAGTAAAACCGATTAGGTTATATGTTTGAAACACCATCAGGTGCTACTTCGCTGCCGGACTTCGGAGAATCCTATTTTTCCGCTTCCACCTCCCAACCAGTGTAAAACATAGGAGGCAAGACCCGCCAACAGAGCCTCAACACAGGAAAAGACAACCTTTGGAATCTGTATACCTGCCCTGTCTTAACCGCGCTGTGGCTTCAAATTTCTGATGCCCAACAAGACCAGTTTCAAATGCGGGAGGTTGGGAAACTTTCTTTATTTCATTTATCAAAGATGCTTTTAAGGGTTTTTGGTAAGGCGAGGTTATTCTGCGAACTTTTAACGGGTTTCGATCCAAGCGGGAAGTTCTAGCAAACACCATCTAGAGAGAAAAAGGTGTTTATATACTTTTATTGCTCCCCCTCTTTCTGCTCGTCTAAAATAGTAATCAAGTACTCTGGACGTATTTAAGAATCATATAATTATATATATACGAGGGGAAAAAACGAAGATGAGAAAAACGAAGAAGGTTATCTATATGTTGGAACAAGAGCACAAATATTATCATGATTCAAAAACACCAGAGTAAGCGTGGCTCACTCTCGAAGTCGTAAACATTCTACCTCGCGGCAATGAGTAGCTTGTTAGCATCCAGAAAATATTGTAAATTTGCTTTAATGGAATCCACCATCATGCAAAAGAGACAACAAATAATCAAGGGAAGAGGGAGGGAATGAAAAAAACAACTGACCAGTCAAAAACTCCTCAAACCCCAAAGTCACATATCCATCCCTATCATCATCATATCTCTTAAACACATCCGTCATTCGTTTTAACGTAATACACGCCTGCACAAACAGGTCAAAGCTCATCCCGTCCTTCGGGCAAGTAACAGGAGCTACCCTACTCCTCCCACGACTCTCAAATATCGAAAATATCATCCCCACAAATGGCGGGCTAAGCGTATACCCAAACGCAACCAGAGCCTTGCTAAATTCCGCCAAGCTGATCCGACCACTGCAATCCTCATCGAAGCGTATAAACAGCTCTCTCCAGGCAGCCAGGAACCGCCACAACGCGACGAACTCGTCGTAACCAACGGTGCCAGACCCGTCCTTATCGAACATCTGGATCATCATCTTTACTGTGTTGGAGTCGAAGGCAGTGTAGTCTGCATTTACCAACGCGGGGCCTAATTCACTTTCAGAGAGTGCGCCAGAGCCGGAGGCATTTGCGGCTTGGAAGAGGCGGGAGAGATCGTTTGGATCGTTGGGTTCAGGCTCGGAGGGTTGGGGGGTTCGTGGCGGGCGGTAGGTGGCCGGAGGCCGGTTCTGGGTAGGGTGTGTGGGACGGGGGCCTGAGCCATAGTTTTGAGGAGGTGGGGAGTACAGTCTGCCGGTGGTGTTTGGATTGGGAGCCCCTCTTTGATACGGCCCTGGTACTTGCCCCGGTGCAGTACTGGGAGGACCACCAGGCCCTGGTCGTGGGAAGTTATGTTGTGCAGGAGGTGGTTGGTGGGCAATCTGTGACTGCGGAGATACGCGGTGATGTTGGGGGAGTTGTCCGTTTTTGGGCGGTGGAACAGGGACTCGCCCTTGGTTTGCATCCGGTCTCGCGGACATTGCCCCTAGCATTTGTGCTACCTGGAAGATGAAGAGAGGAACGTTAACGACAATGTTATCGAACACGAGACGGCTTAATAAATGGGGAAATGGTGAACCTTTCCCAGTCGAGGAGAGTCATTTGACAACGTACCTGCTCTGGCTCAGCATGCCTATAAATGGAGAGCTGTTTCTTAGTATAGAGTCTCGATACGATGAGAATGCATGCGGGGAGTGTAATAAGAAAACGTACGCTGGAAGTGCATCTGGGTTGTATGCGCCCTTGTAGGCCATGGCGGGGGTGATATAAGGCGTGTTCTGGAAAGCAAGGAACTGGCAGTAGGGGCAGCTCTTTGTTCAGATGTTTGTGAGTGTCGCGAGAGTATTTAAATAATAGCAATAAGAAAGAACCCGAGCTCCAACAGTGAGGCTTGTGGTGTTGGAGGAACGACAGCCTTGGGAGATGACCATGTGAAGAGCAGGTGTTGAATTCGCCAAGTTACGGCTCAGTTCGTCAACTCGAGACCTTCCAAGGTGCATAGTAAATATCGCAGCCGCTGCCGAGGCGCCTTCCTTTATGCTGCGAAACACAACGCTGGCTGTATCCTCGTTTGCTGGGGTCATATCACTGGTTAACAAGGGCGTCTTGGCCAACCAGCCAGGGGCAATGCTCTATGGCTTTTGAATTAGAGGTTAACGTAATCTAAGCGGAGTGAGCCACTTTATCAAACATCGACGTGGCCTGTTGATTTAACAATTTAAAATATCAACAATGCAAAGTCATCAAGCCTTCTTTCAAAAAAAAAAAAAAAAAAAAAATCCCTTTTAACATTCTTTGATTAAAGATCAGATTTCAAGTGTATGAGTTACAGCAAATTATAACTATGAAGTCTCTCATATTTTCACTCTTACTCATCAAGTAAATGATTGTGCAACACACATAGATCCTTCATTAAAAGAACTAAAATCTCTATCTTACAAAGAGAAAATCTTTTTATTCAGTGGAATTCTCTTTATGAATGCATGAGAAGAGTCATCTTGAACATGATGAAGTGATTTTGTTTTTCAAAGTAAGAAATTAGGTCTCTTAAAAGTATAACTAATTATTAATAAACTTTATATGAGACTTCTATTGGTGAATACTTGTGTTATTCTAATCATGTGTCATTATATAGAGTTTATGCTGGGCATACGTTGCCCAGGCAGCCGCCCCACCGCACGTGATTAATGTATAGATAGTTTAGCTAAAGCCTTTCATCCGAAAAAAAGATTGAATCATCCCATATATTATATATTCCAGATAGCAATGTTTTTGATGAAAAACATAATTTTTTAGTCAGATTTCATTGCATATGATAATTGAATGAGTTCAACATCAATTTTCAAAAAGAAAACTTTTTTCATATCTAATTGATAAATTTCACTGAAATATTATTATAATGAAATGTGTATTCTTGAAAAAATCAATTATTTAATCTCAATAAATAAATTATCTTTTACTTTATTTCTGAATGAAAGAGAAGTCTATATACTTAATTCAAAGACTTAAGACTCATTTCTCTTAGTGTATTAAAAAGAGTGTAATTAAAATTTAGTTAAATTAAACTTAAAAAATGAAGAACACATTAAATATATATTACAGAGAAAAATCACAAAAAGAAAAAATTAATTCAAACTATAATATGAGTAAATAGACTGTATAGAGTGAATTGGAAGAAGAAAATTCAACTTTTATTTTATATCTTTTCTATATTTAATTTTAAAGTTAATGAAATAATTATTATAATTATAATTGATTTATTTATATTTTATTAGCAAGTAATAAGTTATATATAAGAGAATATTTAAGTTAATTAATGATAATATCTCTGTATACATCACAAAACAAGAAACATAAATATCATAAAAAAGTAAAAGTTTTAATAAATATGAAAATTATGATTACATTTAATAATATCAATTATAAAATATGATATCATGATTATAAGATTTTGTTAAAAAATTTTTATGATATTGCTGTTTTCATTTAGTAATATTTCTACTTTTTCCTCTTTAGAGAAGATTATTATATAGATATTCACTGCAGAAAGTTACAAGAATTATATTATTGATAAAATCTGAAACATATCTCTACTCTTTTTAATCAGATAAATGATATTTTATTATATTTTATGAAAAGAAAGAGTCTGATAGAAGCTCTATAAAAATAGCTAATTAATTCACTATTCAGAGAATTAATAATTTATTTTTATCATATTAAAATTATTGAAATATATATATAAATCTTTAACAATCACTTGTATTTCTGATTTTTAAATACTTCTTTTATTTGTAGATATATACTTTTTTTTAACTAGTTAAATTCACTCATTCAACTTCTTTTATTATTATTTTATATGACATTGCTGTTGATATTTTAATACTATTTCATTATATGTGAAAAATCAAAAAAATTCTTATAAATATAAAAGCTATTAAAGATATTAATATTTTTGA